TTATTTATTTAGGTCAGCATCACTTCAGTGGAAACACGCACTCACCAAAAAACATCTGGTGGGGTCTAGTCATGCCGATACTTTTGCTTTTGTCTTGCTTGTGCAGTCTGAGTTTGTTTTCTGATTGCTGTATCCTGTTTTATTCACTCCAGTTCAGTGTTATTTCTAATAGTGTCGTTTCACTTCAGTAGTAAAGCAAAGAGTTTGCAGTATTATTAAGACAAACCCAGTGATTTTTTTTTGAAGATACACTGTGTAGAAAAGACAAAAAAGCATGAAGAAACATCTAAAAGAGCTAGGAGGTTCATGAAGGTCAGCTTTGTGCTTCTTCCATTTTGGGTAAGGGTATAAGAAGAGCACAAACACTATAAAAAAGCCCAAACAATGTGACATGAATTAGGGAACGTCCATTAGCAGTCTGGCCCCAGCTTTTCAGCATCTCATAGAGAGCAAGTGTCCAAATTTGTAATGTTTCACATAAGTTTGTAGAAGTGCTTTCATTACTTTACATGTCAGTGATTTCAATTTAATTTATTTAGGAATGTCATTGTGTCAACAGTGAAAGGACGAAGACGTCAACAGTTCTGTAGTTTGGGCGGTAATTTGTCTTGTCTCTTCACTTTTCAGATGTCAGCGTGACACCACATTTCCTATCAGCATGCCCAGCCAGAGTGCTTTGCATGGTATTTGTTCAATTCAAAGATTGGTTATTTGCAATCTGCAAATATCTTGTCACAAGATACTCAGCCTACAGCCAGTGCCCAAAAGAAGTACTGTGATAGTGTCCTACTTTAAAGAAGAAGCGATAGGCCTCAAGTTTTTAGATTTCATATCGAAATGAAAAGGAAAATGAGGGTACACCCGGTCATACTGAAAGTCCCCTTTCTGTTTTTGTTTTTTTTTATCTGTACCACTCGAGTGCAAACGGCGTTCATGTGATGAAGTAGAGAAGATTTAGCCCAATCTTTTGTCATGGCTCCAACGCAGTTTTGCTCCATTATCACTTATATCACTCAACAGTTTTAGCTGTTGACAAACCTATGAAAAAGTAAAACACTGTTAAACAGTGATTTCCACTTAAAACCCAGGCAGAGTCTCTTAGTTCCCCACGCTGTCTGAAAAGTAGGCCATCGACTGAGAAAACAGAGGCATGGGCAAAAAACACAGAGGAGGTGGAGAGAACTAAGCTAGTGAAAGCACCAGTGGAAGAAGAGGTGGTGTACATGGAGGAGAGGCTGGGGATGGAGTGGGTTTATTTTTACCTCTTTGCCTGTATAGCCCCACGTTCTAATTAACTGCAAATTAACTTTTGATACAAGGAGGGCGGACGGCAGAGTGCCGAGGCTACAGATATAGACTCAGTTTGTCCTCCCTTTCCTTTTACTATTAGCCCACTTTCTCTCCAGGGCTCGGGCCTCCGAGGAACTACCGGTCCTCCTCTGAGCTGTCCTTGCAAGGCAGACATCTGTTCCCCAGAACCACCACACATCTCTGCTGCACATCAGAGTGCTCTAGAAAACCTCTGGATGGATATCTACATGACCGAGCGCTTGTTGCTGGTTGATCTAGGACTTATATTTCCCAAATAAGATGCCTTCAAATTCCTTTATAAATCAGGTGGCGGTACCTTTGTATTGCCTTATTACCATGGTGACCCCTACGTGCAAAGTCCTCACTCAGAAAGATTTTTTAGAGAGATTAAATTCACCGCCGATGCATTCTCTTTGTTACTGAGTGTCTGAGCGATATGAGTGTGAACACAGGAAACCTTTGAAATTGCAGTAAGTGCAGCTAACAGTGGTCCTGTGAGAAACAACCAATGGAAAGAGCCAAAAATATCAGCACGTATCATCAAGAGCTGTCATGTTACTGCATGACGCCGTCACCTAGGGGCACTGAGATCTGAACTTGAGAAAAAGGTTTTAATCCTCACAGCAGCCTTAAGATGGTAAGCTGGCAAATAATTTGAACCTTTCTGTTCGTCTGTGGCTGTCTCTGCCTTGCTCTCTTTTTCTCTTCCTCCATCCATGTGACTAATGACAAGGTCCACTGCTCATGTCCTTATATAGACCTATGCTCTGTCTGATCTGGCTGAGGCCAGGATGATGGTGCACATACACACACACTTAGTAAGTTCTGAGACATTTAGGTGCCCTTGGAAATGTCATCAGGGATACGCGTTTGATCCAGTAATTAGTCAGTTAGTACTTTGCAAGTGTATTGCTTGCTTAAATATTCAGGAAATCATACCATTTCTGGAGTGAACTATTTGCTTGCATTGCGTTATTGGTTTTGTTTCTCAAAGTTTGAGCCCAGTCACACAAGCCCAAGAGACTGGTCGATGTCTGCCTGGCAACCACCGGTCTCTAGGGAAAAATAATTATTTCTGACCGCTTGCTGCGGTTGTTAGCAATTGCTGTGAAATTGATTACTAACTCCCAGTCATGCAGGCCTAAGCACCAGTTAGTGACCCCGTGGTGACCACGGTTGCTACGAAAAAATGTGTATTCCCCCACTGGTTGGTGGTTTGCGGAGGTTGCTGGGAGTCTCAAGGTGAAATTGGTTATTAACAGGTATACAGTGGTGCATCAAAAACCTTCCTGTGGTTGCTGAGGTCGCCCGATAAGATGCCAGCTTGTTTGCTTGAGACTGATGGCCTTCAGTGTAAAAATTGGTAAAGAATAACTTTGCTTTGAAGGTGAACATTCTCTGTTTCACTGCTGCTCTGAGGTCAGTTAGTAAATGTTTGCAGACAAGTCTGCATCTTCCATGCAAACGAAGGGTGATCGCATCAATCTGTCATGAACCACAACTTGTATGGAGGTCCAGCACCTTTTTTGGTTGATCTTGCAGCCACTCACCAACTGGTGTTGGTAATACAGAGGTTGCAATACAGAGGTTGCTAGGGGTTGCTGACAGGTCTCTAAGCCTATGTGACTGATGGCTTAGATGAGGAAGTTAATGTCTCTCTTACGATGGCTGTGTAAAATAGCTAAACAAGTTAGTTAGCTTAGCTTGGAACCTGTAAGCAAGTCTTCAGTGCCTTTCTGGAAGCGGTTTGCCAAGTTGAAGACTCGTATGTTCAATTCAGTTATTTTAAAGCATTATTTGAATGAAACTTAACCTCACTGTTCCCTGGGAACCTTCATGTCACAAGTCTACTCCTACCATCATCTTTGCTGTTGCAGAATTCTCTTTCAGGAATCTTTCAGTGTCGTGTTTCTCATATAATGTGTCTGCAATAGCTAGACTAAGTTTAGCTATTTGCTATCAATACCTCTGCAGTCCTGTTTATACAAAGGTTGTTAATTTGTGGTTTTCTGACGGCTTCTTGGCAGGTAACAGTCAGAGTTACAGTGAAGTTGCCGGGAAATCTTCACGTTAGCCGAAGATGTTGTTTATCTAAGTACTGGATGAATGGGATAAACTGTTAGGCTGAAAATATTTACCTCGCACCCCACAAAGTGACTCGTTCACACAGTTGTATCTATATCAATTAAACAAACACTGTTAGAGACTAGCTAGCCTTAATGCTAAGCGGAAGATCTTCTAAACTATAGTAGCCTTTTTGTTGAACTATTATCTAAAACAAAAAGATGTCACTGTGCTGCTGTTTTGGGAAGTTGGCATTGGTGTGTCTTGATTTTTAGTAAGAACAAAGTTAAGAGAAGCTGTATTATTTTATTTTTTTTTCGCCCGGTAACAGCATGTAGATATGATTTCAGTTATTCACATATAAACCTCTCTCCGAGCCCTCATGCCATCCAAGCTCACATCACCTACTTCTGTAATATGTTAGGGCTTTGTTACAGATACCAACGGAGCCATCAGATCTCTTGTGTATTCTTATTATAGACTAGTCTTGTTAGGAAAAACTCCTCAACATCACACACACACACACACACACACACACACACACACACACACACACACACACACACACACACACACACACACACACAGCCGTTCATCAGACCTAGTTATCGACATAGGGAGATCTCTCCATAAATGGTAGACTGCCCAGGGCCCTGTTTCTGTTTCCACTGCACAAACCAAATGAAGTCCAGGTCTGCGAATAGCCTTTTAAAGTGGAAGACAGAGAGAATGACAGATAGAGGCAGAGCAAAGGGAGGTGAGAAAAAGAAGAAGCGCGAGAGGTTTGTCGATGATCTGTCAGGATTTTTGACCCTGAGAGAAAGATGCTGTAAGTAGATTAAAGCAGGGTCCTCTCAGTGCATGCACTACATCTTTTACACATATAATAAATTTGGTGTTGGGGATCTTTCCACGCCTGTAAAAGAAAAACTTTTAGTTTATAGTTAAGACAACAGAAGTAAGCAGTTGATTATTGACACGGATACTCTGGTTTGTTTCAGTGTAACCTTTATGGTGAAAGAGCTGGGGTTTGATTGGATATTAGTAAATCCAAATCAAGTGATAAATCTGCTCATTCAACGTGTGCATCATTGAGTTTAGATATGAAATCTTCGGATTTCATAACATGTACATACTTGAATACAAATATGTAAATATAAAGCATAAGTTAATGTCATTGTGAAATGCGGCATACTCATGATGAGTACTCGACTCATCTTTACCTTATTTTTCATGTGCGATTGTATTGCAGTCATTTCACCTTGTTGGTTGATGTACTACATACATAGTCTGCTTGTGGTTTGTCTGTGACCCGCAACACTGCACTGTCTTTGAAAACATCCTCAGAAGAGCACATTGAGTTTATTTAAACTCAGCTGACCTGTAGTATTTTTTATTTAACTGGGGAAGGAAACGATAAAAAAGGTCAAAGGTTTGGCAAGATGCTTTAGGAAAATGCTGAGCAGGAACCAGATCCAAAAGGGAAGGGCTCTTCTCATCTAGTGCACAGACAAGTGAAACGACACCAACTAGTATTATTGTTATTTTGAGATAAAGTATTACGCATTTAGCGTTGGTATTAAAGTATTATGTTGCTAACTCTTTGTCTTTTTTTCTGTTTCCAGCTTGAAAATCTACAGAAGACATGGCTGAGGGAGTTTTACCAGGTAAGAGAAATCAAATATTTGATGCATTTAATCCACTGAGTAACTCGGGCTTAACCGTTGACTGTTGGAAACACCATCAGCATGCCTACAGGTTTCAGAGTGCCCCACATGGCCTAAACCCTCCCGTACAATAATGAGTTAAACTCATAAATAAAACAGACTAGTTCACAAAAGGTCTTTTTCTCCCCTAAAAACACACAAAGTGGATTACAGTATAGCAAAACAGCCGACGCACTGTTACCATCACGTGTGTTTCTATAGCTTCAAGTGCTCTCATGTGACAATCACCATAAACTTTAAGGATAGTCTGGGATTTTTCTCTTAAGCTGAAGCTATAGATCAAGTCAAATGAAGTCATGTGCTTCGCATGGCTGCTGTCTAGAAATCTAGCTTTAATCTGCTTTAACTGATGATACTATTTTATCTTTATCAAAAGTTTCAATGAACCTTTAAACCTCTTTTTTAAAATCGTACAGGGTAAAGTTAGTTTAAGCTCTAGGGTTATTTTCACTCTCTAATTGTATTGTTTTTTTTCGCGCTCAGTCATGTTTCATATCTTACCTTTTCATCTACATAGGAACCCCTGACTAACCACAACTCTTTCCACTGGGTTAAGGGAAATGAGGCAGCTAGACCTCTTAGCTGCTGTCTGAAAGAGAGCAGAGAGGGACACATGCAGTTTCGCTGTTACCATAATTCTGCAAACAATCAATGTATTTTACACATCAAAAGGGTAAAAATAATGCTCAAATACATTTTCCAATCTCTTTTTATTAAAGCGCTAAATATATGCTCATACAGGGCAGTAAACTTTCCAGACTTATGATTCAGACGAGCAGTTTTTAGCTTTAGTTAGGCTAGTGCCTCTTTGAAATCTGGGATGGAGTTCTTGTAAAATATCCAGATTTCCAAGTGGAAGAAAGCTAACCTAAGTAAGGTGTTAGGTAGGGTTTTCCACCAGAGTTCTTCTACATGCTGAATGTTGGAACGGATTCCTTAAATGTTGCCAAAAGCAAACACAATAGAAAGATCAGCTCATTTGTGTACAACACAAAAATACAAAGATTGGCTCATCGCTCTGAGAAATGTGATTTCCTGACAGATTGGAGGGACATGTTACAAACATTTCAGTCTCTGTTGGACCAAGCATAATTTGAGAGGGATACAAGATACCTTTGCTATTGAATTTCTTTTGTATATAATTAATCTGTGTGGAAACATCACACAGGATGTTCTCTCATTTGTAGTGCAATGTGTAACATGATTGTGAGCCTTTCTACCAAACCTGCCCTCATAAATATTTTAAAAAAAGCATAAGAATATAGCATCTTTGGAAATATAAATAATAAATAATAATAATATTGAAAAATATATATCCTTATACTCGGAGAGAGAAGATTTCACGCTTGAGAAAATAAAATGATGGTATCAAGCAATCAAAGTCAGATCTGGTGAAACTTGATTAATGTACAGACACGATGAGACAAAATGAAAGTTAGATAGAAACTAAAGAAGACAAATAACAAAAACAAAAACCCCACCCTGAATCACTTCTAGGAAGAAAGTGAAGAGGATGATACAGAGAATTGAAATAGATCAATTTCCATATTTATCAGCAGGGATGGCCGTAATTGAGCAATTCTTGTAATGTTACTCAACACTGCTTTCAGGCTGAATGGCCCATAATGATTTGTGCTCCGGCCACGGGGGTGCTACAGCCATCAATATCTGTAATCTGATGCAGTACCAATGTGTGAGGTGTCTAGCAGGTGAGGCCAAGGATCCTGCCATGCCTGTGTAGAGGTCAATTAAGTGTACAACACAAAAATGGACAAAGCTCTGATTGTATAGGTGAGAAAAAGTTTAGTTTTTCCTAATGGGTAGAAGGTGATGTGAGGTTACTCGTCAGTAGGAGTAGTTTTCCAGTCGCCTACAATGACTGCGTGTGAAACAGACGTTCATTTTTCATGAAACCAAATTCCTGCACTGCGAGTTTACTCGTGGATGAATGAACAGCTGTACACTGGTATGATGACTTTGGAAAATGTTCTCTTTGAGCTCTTTGAGGCCTTTGAGTTTTAAGATTTCAAGATTTTCTTTTTACTACTTTTTAAAAAAGTGTTTAGAAAACACTGTCAGCACTTATAAGAGAATATAGGTGTATTGAACAATGCTATTGAAGTAAGTAATCGAACTCAGGCTGCTTCACTTCTTTACACTGATAAGAAGGATCTTTATTCCAGGACGTTGCATTATCTTGTTTGTCTACACCACATTCATAATAGAAGCCTTAACAGGAACTTGGTACATAACCACTGTGACCCCACCCATTTGCTTGAAGACTAGCATTTTTAATGCCTAGATTTTAACACTGTAGTGGTCACTGTTGAGGTTATTTGGAGTTAGAATATAGATGAGGGTGGAGTTAATAGTCAATGCTAATAAACTTTGTAATGCTACAGTCAGTTGCACATTGCGTACTTGTGACCAACTTGTGCAACAACTTGTGATCTTGTGATGAAGTGAAGTAGTTGTTTCGAAGACAGGGGACCGGGTCTGTGACCACTTGCAGTCAGTTTCTGTCTTCAAAGCGTCTTTTGTGTGTTAAGCTGGTGATAAAACGGCATTAAGATGGAAACAGTTTGAGATTTAATGGGGTCAAGCTAACAGTTACACGCAATGTTTTTGTGATAATGGGATGATTAACTGTGATAAATGAGCAAAAATGTAAAATCTGAAATAAAGAGACAAGACAGAACCTCCTACAACTCATAAATTGAGCATTCATAAATTCTGTTGCTGCAGGACGGCTCTGCAGCCTTGCTTGTAAATTGAAACATAACCAAAATATATCCAATTGAGTCAAGTCCCCTGTTGCAAAGAGACGTTTTGTGCTCATTGAGTCAGATTGATTGGAACATGTTCCAGTCATTGACCAATCTGCCTGACTGATTTCAGTCAACCCATGTTCAATTGCGATTGTCTGGAGATGCGGATGCCTGTTATTTTGTGCTATGGTAGCATACAGTTTAAATACTGTAATGTTCTTGGGTGGCCTGGTAGTAAAGTTAACCACATAGCAATGTAGGTTTTTTCTTTGTCACATAATTGTATTTGCTCCAAAAGACAATGACACCACAGATCCAGTTTGAACTAGTTGATGTTATAGCTCAACACAGACTCAGCTAAATTATAAATTTGATACAATTTAAACAAGTGAGACGTTATAAAAGACAAGAGCTAGTTTTATGTGGCAGGCTTTGGGGACTGACTCGCTTTCAGTCAATCTCTCGCAGTGCTTCTGCTTTGGCTTAGTATTTTAGCCACTGAAGGTTGCTCTTTCTTGCTGCAGGTAGGTGCCATTAACTTCCAACACCAAAACAGTGAAGCTGCTGGCTCTTTGTGTCCGCTTTTATAGCAGAGATGACTTCTATCCCAAAAATGTCATCCTCGGTTTCTGTGCAAAGAACACACACATATGCAGGCAGTATATACTGGATTTCCCTGCAAGGTTCTGCAGTGGAAAGTGGCCTAATGTGATATTTTTTAAGATATTTTTTGCATGCTGATAAATAAATGAAGAGAACTTGATTTTCTGCATGATGGATGGATGTTTTGACTAAGCTCTTTACTATGCTGGTTGGCTCCTTTTGCATACATTTTCATATATTTAAGCATAAAATGTCACTCAACTCATCAGCTTCTCTTTTGTTTTATTTTCCTTCCACTTTGTGTGTGCGTGTGTGTGTGTGGAAAGAGAAACAGTGGGGATGGGAGTAGCCCTAAAAGTGGTTAGTTCAAACTGAGTCAATAAATGACACTTCAAACATGCGTAAGAAAAACACACACGTCTTATTTACTATTCTTACGAAGCACTGGTTCCTTGCTATAAATATTCCAGACTCACCCAGTGGACACACACCTACACATTCACACGCGCGCACACACACACACACCTACACATTCACATGCACGCACGCACACACACGCACACACACGCACACACACGCGCACACACGCACACTTTATTGTTCTCCTTCAAACAAGTATACCGTTTGTTGCATATGCAGAAACTGTTACAAGGACATGGGGGCATGAAAATAATAGCGAGGGTTTGTAACTATGCTTTGCATCGGGCTCCATAAATATGGATCTTATTTCAGTGTATCAGCAGTGCAATGATAGCAGTTGGGGACTTCCTTGTGTACAAGGAAAATCTCATCAAACAGACTGAATGTGATGCAAGAGTAGTAACCAAGAGGCAAAGAATAGTATTCCTGATTAGGTTTACGGGTATATTTGTAAGACCATGTCACCTGAAATCAACAGAAGGACCTTCCTCATGACTTCCATAGCAGAAATAAAAATACCAAAAAACACGAAAACAAAACCAAAGCTATGTTTGGTGTATTGTGCCTTAGCTATTGCAATTCCATTGAAGTTATAGCCCCGATCTAAGATTTTGTAACCCTGTACTGTAGACCAGCGGTCCCCAACCTTTTTTGCGCCACGGACCGGTTCATGCCCGACAATATTTTCACGGACCGGCCTTTAAGGTGTCGCAGATAAATACAACAAAATAAAACTAGTACCGGTACTGAAAAAAAGAAGATTTATTCATAACACACGTGAAAAGACCCAGGAAAATCGAGTAAACGATAAAAACGATAACAAAATAACGCTGAAAACCGATAAAAACCCTGAAAACCATACATTTCACACCTGAGCCTCAACTCTCGCGGCCTGGTACCAAACGACTCACTGACCGGTACCGGTCCGAGGCCCGGAGGTTGGGGACCGCTGCTGTAGACAATAGTCAAAGTCATATCATTTGACGTTGTTTTTTTTCCTACTGCCTCTCTTTTATGGCTATAGTTGTGGTAATAAATAACCAAACTTGGAGCACATCCATTTTTTTATTACTTGTTCAATCGGGATATGAGTCAGATGGCACTAGATCTATCCTGGCTACCATAGGGTGAGATGAGGGGTACATCCGG